CACAGTGGTAGGGTTACCCTTAAATAAAATGCTGTAAGTTTTGATTTAAGAGCAGAAATTTGTGGTAAATTTAATATTTTAAACCTAAAAAGTGGGGACAATGAAAGTTATCAGTAAAATGTTCTAAAACATGGGAGTCAAACTCATTTTCACTGAGGGCCACGTGAGCGTTATGGTGGTCCTCAAAGGGCCAGTTGTAATTATCTTTAATGTTTCATGTTTAACTTCAACTAAACAGTGTTTTAACACGTCCCCTTATAAGCACTGAAAAGTACTAAGTGTACGACTGACTAAATCTGAAATAAATACAGAAATACTATTAAAAGTAGAAGTAGGAGAGTTTTCCTCACTGTTGAGTTGTGTTGAGTAGCTGCCATCTTGAATTCCGAACTTTCCCTCTTTCTGACAGGGAATTCCCATGGATAATCAGCATGCATTATGGGAGTTGTAGTTTATGGTCAATGCTGGATTTAAAGCAGCTTATTTTGAGACATTAATACTGTGCTATCCAACTAAATTGCTCAGTTACTTAAAGCCAACAGCTCAGGTGCAGGACAAGAATTATTTTCTTTCACCTTTTAAATTAGTTTATGTTGTTGCTTTTAGTCATAAATTGAAAGTTTGTCATTGATATAAGAATCAAATTTCATATTAAGTAAAAACTATTCATTTTTGAATTTTTTTTTGCGAGGGCGGGCCAGACAGGAGTCACCCCCGTTCCACATTTGGCCCACAGGCCTTAGATTTGACATGTGATCTAAAAGGCTGAAATTGTCTCTTCAGGTCACATTAATCTTTTGTTTTTAAGTTTTAAAAATCTTTAAACTAATGGCTGAGTTTGTCTCTCAAAATGTAGTTCTTTATATTTTCTATCATGGCATAATTTTAGAGATTTGAGCTTTTTGCTCAGTGCGTTGCTGAAATAAAGAATGAAATAAATCCAACCAGTAATGTTTTTTTTTGTGACCAAGTTAACTGGGACCAGTCTGCTGGTTTCACAGCTGAGTCATCACGAATCCTTCCTTCTTTCCTCACATAAAGTTACACTGTGATGCTGTAAAGCTACAGATATGTTGTACTTTTCATTCTCTTTAGGTCTATGTGAAAACATTTGGAGAGCACGTCGGTTTCAGGATCTTCATGGATGCCATCCTTCTGTCTCTAACGAGGAAGGTATGATAYTTAGTTTTTATATTTAGCAATGTCAATCTGCATACGCACTGTTGTAATGGGCCTAATTTGTGTTTTTATTTTTCTGTCGGACCTCTGCGGGTTTGTGTTTGCAGGTGAAGCTCCCTGACGTCGAGTTCTTCGTAAATTTGGGCGACTGGCCGCTGGAGAAGAGAAAACCCACAGAGAAGCTCCATCCGATCTTTTCTTGGTGRGGCTCAAACAACACCAGAGACATCGTCATGCCCACCTACGACCTGACCGAGTCGGTCCTCGAGACCATGGGGAGGTGAGGTTCAGCGTGRGTCACGTTTCAATTAAACCAGTCAGGATTCTTCAAACTCCCACAAAGTGATTATCTTCTGCAACCAGCAATTTATGCAAGTGAACTTGAGGTGCACTTTTCAAGAAGCTGGATTAAAAACAAAGATGCTCAAAAATAACCTTTTGTTGCCCCTGAGGGAGTTTCTGTGAACTCGAAAGGAACGTTTTCTCTCACTTTTGTCTTCTGGCAAGAACAGCTGAGAACTGCTACATTAGAACAAAGACATGTTTACCCAAAACCATTCTTCTTATTATGCCTCCAGTAGGTTGAGTGATACTAAACCTCTGACCTGCCAGCTGACCCGTACACACCGAGGAGCTTGAGATACAAACCCCTCTTCAATTTACTTTGAAATATCTTTTACCGGAATTGTTTCTAAAAATATATGGTTAACAGAATAATCAAGCATCAAGTATTCCTGTTTGATGTTTTATCTCTGCTCTGTTCTTTGTTTTTCTGATCYTTACTGAGGGACGTGAGCAGAAATATAACTTGGTTTGTGTGTGTCTGAACTGCCGATATAATCTCTTCTTATTTAAAGCTGATAGCATGCAGAAATGAAAAGTGACATGTCTAATTGTATGTCTCGCGGCGGCKTAAATATCCACACATCTCACTGAAAGGAAATGAAGGATGAGATCAGCACTAACCGGAGCTTAGGATGCATTTCCTGGGGTTTTGATTTCGTCACAAAAGCCTGCTCTGGAGATCTAATCAGATCTTTTCTGTTCAAAGAAACCAAGTGTGGGAAATTCTCACTTGGMTTTACAAAAGTTTCCTCCAGTAAAAAAAAAGGAAAAAGATCACTTAAAATGTCAATTGKTGAAAAGTAAAAATGGTACAAGGATTTAAATTAAGTAATTTGCTTGTTAAAATTGGACATTTTTAAGTATATTATGTATTTTTTTTTCCAGATAAACGACCACTGAACATAAATTCTTGTTTCCATYCAATAAACAGAGTAAGTCTGGACATGATGTCTGTTCAGGCCAACACAGGGCCGCCGTGGTCGGAGAAGAACACCACGGCCTTCTGGAGGGGCCGGGACAGTCGTCACGAGCGTTTGGAGCTGGTCAAGCTCTCGAGGGCCCGTCCTGACGTGATCGATGCTGCTTTTACCAACTTCTTCTTCTTCAAACATGACGAGAGCCTCTACGGGCCGCTGGTCAAACACGTCTCTTTCTTTGACTTCTTTAAGGTGACGTTGCTGCGGTGGGGATAGCTTTACATTGTTTTTATAAAAATGATGGGTTATATTGTAAATTACTACAAGGCTGGGTGGCTGTAAATGTCTGAGCGAAATGTTCCAACTCATTCAGGAGACGGGTGCTATGGTATWTTTTAAAGGGATCCCTGATTAGTTGTAACATTAGACTTTATTTAATAAACATATATTTTAACTGTAAAATAAAGACTGTAAAAATACTGTAGGCTGTTTAGTTTTGTAATTTTTTAAAAATATATTTTAACATGGACGGAGCCATTTTATTTACCCGCAAAGCATTCTGGGTAAATGACGTGGATAGGTCATCAGTGCAAGGCTGCTAGCGAGCTATATCCACCCTGAAGGTTAATCTTGAACAATATCTGATGATCGACTCTTTTAAATGAAACCAGAGAGTGTTGACAGAGAGGAGAAGGTAGAAATGACTCAGTCTGTAACTGAAAATATGGATGGAGGACAACAGAGCTGCTTCATGGAAGAAGAACCTCAGCTTAGCCTGTTAGCTTTAGCATTAGCCCCGACACTATCACTGTATATACAGTATGTATTAGCTCAGGGCTACAGATTCTCTTGTCGTCACTGAGGTCCTCCATCCACATGACAGAGAGGGCAATGCAAAAATGACTCAGTCTGCAACTGAAAATATGAATGGAGGACCTCTGTTTAGCTTGTTTGTCGTGCTAGCACCGAGCTAATACATATAAGGCAATATAGCGTCAGTGCTAGCACAAAGGCTAACAGGCTAAGCTGAGGTTCTTCTTCCATGAAGCAGCTCTGTTGTCCTCCATCCATATTTTCAGTTCCAGGCTGAGTCATTTCTACCTTCTCCTCTCTGTCAACGCTCTCTGGTTTCATTTAAAAGAGTCAATCGTCAGATATTGTCCAAGATTAACCTTCAGGGTGGATATAGCTCGCTAGCAGCCTCGCACCGAGGACCTATCCACGTCATCATTTACCCAGAATGCTTTGTGTGTAAATAAAATGGCCCCGTCCGTGTTAAAATATATTTTTAAAAATTTACTAAACAGCCCACAGTATTTTTACAGTCTTTATTTTACAGTTAAAATATATGTTTATCAAATAAAGTCTAATGTTACAACTAATCAGGGATCCCTTTAAGTACTTTTCAAAAGATTCAACTTTATTTGTGAACATTTTCCCCAAAGAAATACATTAAGATTCTTTCAGTCACTTAGAAATACAGTTTTAACCTTTAAGTTAGCCTTTTGCTCCTTTAGCTATCATTTTGCTACTATATTATAATTGGCTTTAAGCTAAATATTTTCTTCTTTTGGCTTTTAACAACTTAGTTTTAGCTTATTCAGCAAATTTCAGCAAAGTCATTCATCATTCAGCATTATTCTACTTTACAATAAAACCAGCATTTCCAGCTTCTATTTCCCAGTAAAGAGTGCAGGAAGCTTGGATAAAATGTTTTCTTTGATAGAAAGTAAAACATTCAACAGACAGTAAGTTTAGCTAATATGTTTATTTTTATTTTTTGTCCAAATCCAGTACAAGTACCAAATCAACATTGACGGCACTGTAGCAGCGTATCGTTTGCCTTACCTGTTGGCTGGAGACAGCGTCGTCTTGAAGCAGGATTCTGGCTACTACGAGCATTTTTACCACGAGCTGCGGCCGTGGGAGCATTACATCCCAATACAAGCAGACCTGGGAGACCTGCTAGAAAAAATCCAATGGGCTCGTGAGCACGATGAAGAGGTGAGGATGTGGTAGACGATCCTGGAGACACTAGACATACAAATAATCATGTTTTTGTAAAGATGAAGTAAATTCTCCGCTTCGACTCTTGCAGGCAAAGAAAATCGCACTCGCCGGTCAGCAGTTCACCCGCAGTCAGCTTATGGGAGACAGTATATTTTGTTACTACTACAAACTCTTTAAGGTATCAGTCCTACACATTCAGGAAGAATAAACTAAAACAGTCACTGTGTTTAAGTCACAGCCCTGAATAGAAAACTGTCGTTCAATATAGGAGTATGCCAAACTCCAGATCACAGAGCCTAAGGTTCGGAAGGGCATGGAGCCTGTGGAGCAACCCACTGATGAACTATTCCCATGTTCCTGTCAGAGGAACACGGTAAGAGATGGCAGTTTTTTTTTTGGTGTTTGTCAAAACCGCTTTTATTTTGACACGAAGGTGACAATTTAAAGTGCATGCAAGCTTTAGGCTATAAACTGGAATTCCTGCATCAGTAATGTAATTAGCTACACTTAAACATTTATGACTTCTAATGTTTTATTATTATTTTTTTATTTTATAGGATTTGATAATATCATTTCTGACCTTTGTATGATGAAAAGAAGCTGATAAAACAAACTAATTATTAGCTGAATGGGAAGTTGCAGAAAGTAAACCTGAACCCAGATTTGTTATTTTCAATGGCAATAAAACAAAACATCATTTTCAACTGCTGTGACACTGCTTTTACACTAACAAACACTGTACAGTCTCTGACTCCCTCTGCTGGACATAATCTGCTACTGCACAACAAAGCGTAAAATATTCCAAGAAACAAATTTGAGTTTGTGTTGCTGTCATTAACTGTGTATAAAATGTAACATTTTATTTCATTTTAATTGTTTTTTTTATTTGTTTGTTTTTTCAGGTGAAAGATGAACTTTGACCACTTCAGATCTTCATTATCACCAAATATTTTTTTACAAGTTGTGAAATGATGCTGTGATTATATTAAGATTTCCTGTTTTTAAATAAAGTTTTTTTTTCTTATGTCATGCTTTATTCCAAATCGCCCACACACTGTTCCATGCACCCAAGCACATGCTGATTTAAGAGATATTCTTTAACTAAAACGGACTATCCATGCACATTTACGACTTTTACACAATTYCAATTTGGCTTTTACAAATTTAAAAAACCTAGCCATTTGTTTTAGTTTATTTCATAAACAATGACCCAGACAGGAAGAAGCATCCTCTCATTGTCCATCATAACAAACAGCAGGCACGTTTATTTGTAATAACACCGCCTGAACGATAGGGGGCATGATTGTCCGGTTTGTTTTTGGATTTAAGACAGGAAAAAGTTGCAATGGATAAGTTTGACGAGGTAAATACTTCTGAATTTAAAACAAAACCTGACCCTTATCACAAATGTCAGCTGTGTGGTGTTTTTGAAAGATGTGAAATTGACAATAAAAACGAAAATTAATGGATTAGAAACTCGCTCCCTTTCAGGAAACTGTAAAGCTGCCTTTTGGGAAGAAGGATCTGGACGCTGTCTTGTGTTTCCCAACCTCAGTGAGAACAGATGTTCACACAGCTGTAATACTCACACATGGAGCAGGAGGAGACATGAACTTCAGGCATCTGGTTAGTCTCGCACGCGCCCTGGCTTCACAGGGTTTCCTCTGCCTTCGTTTTACATGCAAGGCTTTAAACCTGAGTTACAGAATAAAAGCCTACTCTGCTGTTTGGGTAAGGGTTTGTACTCACAACTAGCGCGCATGTGTCTAAAATAATAATAATAGATTCAGCACTTATTTTCCTTCTAGGACTACTTGAAAACATTACAGAAGTTTACAATAAAGCACGCTTTTTTTGGAGGTAAGCAACTCATAACTCTGGTTTTGGACAATAAGGACAGTAAATATTTAAAGTGTTGTGACAATCCTCAGGGAGGTCGATGGGATGTCGAGCTGCTGCAGCCCTGGCCAGGCGTTTGAGCGATGAATCAGAGGATGGAGTTCAGGGGGTCATCTGCCTCTCCTTCCCTCTGCACCCACCCGGACAGATGCACGCTCACCGCCAGCGAAGTGAAGACCTCAGGATGCTGCCTGAGTGCGTGCGTGTGCTGTTTGTGTCAGGCACTGAGGACAACATGTGTGACAGGGTGAGCAATATTATCAGGGCCTTGTTGTCATGTAATTTGGTTAAGTTTTAAATTTGTGAGGTTTCCTTGTCTTAGGATTTATACAGCGGGTAAAATAAGTTTTGAACACGTCACCATTTTTCTCAGTAAATATATTACTAGAGGTGCTAATGACATGAAATTTTCACCAGATGTCGGTAACAACCCAAGTGATCCATACATACAAAGAAATAAAACCATAAATGTCCAGAAATGAAGTTATTTGTAATAATGTGGAATGGCACAGGGAAAAAGTATTGAGAAAGCAAGCCTGCCCCTTGTCAGTGCAAATTAATATCAGCTGGTTCAGTCCCAAATGATGGCCAGGTATCACAC